GGCCACATAGCTCAACTAGATATGCCTCACCTCGGAAAGCCCCAGGGGCCTGGAAACAGTACCTGAGGAAGTTCGTGATGCCAGGCTCTTTCCCTCAAGAACCTTCGCCGCCTCCGGCCGAGAAAAATCCCATTCTCCTGTCCAATGAGAGTCCTATCCTCCTCATCTCGCGCTCTTCTGTGAATCACTTGAACGAGAACATCAAAGCCAATCAGAAGAGAAATAGGACGGGGACCAGCAAAGCCGTAGCCGCTGACGTCTTCCGGGCCAATATCGTCGTCGCGGAAAGTCTTGCAGACTCGCCCAAGGTGGAGCAGCCATACATCGAAGATCAGTGGGAGGCCCTCAAAATCGGACCTGGGGAGCTTCAGTTCGATGTACTTGGTTCCTGTCAACGATGCTCGATGGTCTGCATTGATCAGTTTACCGGCGTTCGTCGCGACGAGCCATTTTCGACGCTGGCAAAGACCAGGAAGATCAATAATAAAATTGTTTTTGGGAGACATTGCTCCCTTTCTGCGTCAGAAGTTACGAAAGAGCAGCATGATAACGCGGAGCGCTGGACGCTGATGGTTGGCGATATCGTTACTCCTTCGTATGCGCATGATTACGACTTATGAGAATCATCTGGTTGCCTGGTTCGGTTGGTGTTGGATATGAGCGACTTGTTTTGATGACATGTATATATAGCCACTCAATCTTCTGAATATTTATTGCCACGTATAATAATCCTGTATAGGGCAGTTGTCGGGGCTGCCTTTCCAGTCCTGGAGTTTGTTGATTTTGAAGTGTTCAGTATACACACAAATTCTATGAAACATGGAACGCTTTGTGCAATTTTTGCTAGAACATCTATTTGTACAGTACATATGCAAACAAGAACTCCCATCCCAAACCCCGTCAATGATCCATATAGTAATCTTAGCCAAGCTGTGTGAGTCGAGGATTGGCAAATAAAACAGACGCGACATGATGAAATCCCGTGTGATAGAAAAGATATTGACATAGATTCGTTCACCTCTTGGGCCATTGCTTCCAGCCACGACCATGACCTCTCTGTGCATCGCATCAAGTTAGCCTCGACACATTCCAACCGCACACTCAACATCAACTGAATGCTTACCTGCTTCCACAACCGGATCATCTCCGGCATCTCCATCATAGCCTTGCGTCTGTCCTCCAAACGAGCCTCCATCGTCCGTTCCCACTTGTGACCCTTGACCTTCTGTCCAACACCAGTACCCTTGATCGCCAGTCCGCGCTCCGCCCGTCTCGTCTCCTTATACTCGGTTGATTTGCGCCCAGGCGGCAGCAACGCCTCCACGTTATACTTGATAGCCAACTTGACAAGCTCCGCCTGTCTCCTTAGCCCGATGGGCGGGCCGATCCACTTGCCATTGCGGAAGTTCTTGCGAGGGAGGAAAGGGTTGGGGTGTTCCGGGTTGGAGTAGAGGAGCGATTTGGACGGGGAGAAGGCTTTCGGGTCGGGCTTTTTGAAGCCCTTTGCGTCTCGGTTGGGCGTGTATGGCGATGGAAGGGATTCCTCGGCCGCAGGGGCTGGAGTTTCGGGTTCAGTGACGGGAGGGCGTACGGCCGCGGAGTAGATTTGCGGAGGATAGCGGGCGAAGAAATTGCGTAGGCGGAGGGGGAGCTTGCTCACCAGGTCGGTGGCTGCTGTTGTGACGGACATGATGAAATGTAATAAGCCCAAGCCAGAAAACCCCCAGTAAGAGTGTGAGGTTGGGGACTTGGGATAGATAATGTTATGTTGGTGATCGATAGCTTCAAAAGGAAATACTCTCGGATATGCTATGAGAAATTCCACAGCCCGGGGTGCGGCTAAGCCACATTAGTTTAGGCTTGGCAGCGAGAAAAGGCGGCAGCTGTGTGGCTGGTGAGAGTGGCTTCTTCCTCAACTTGCTGAAGTTCTACCTATCCAGGCGGAACTCTGCGTCTCTCCCGCAACCGTCTTACTTGTGTTATTCAGGAGTCTTTGTCTCCTCCATTCATTGCATTTTCTCTTTCTCAAGTCTCTCCATTTATCGCATATCACTCCTTCTCGCTTGTCCTCGCGCTGCTTGCACCTTTGAGTGATTGCCATTATGGCGGACTACAACTATGGAGGTTCCGAGGAGGAGAACGCCGAGTTGAGAAAGCTTGAGACCGAACTTGTATGATCCTGATTTACACATGCTAGTTGCGAAGCGCAAGTATTGTAGCTAACAGATGTATTTCTCAGGCCGATGACCCTGACAACTTCGAGACGTGGGAGAAGCTTGTTCGCGCTGCCGAGGCGCTGGAGGGTGGAATCAATCGCAACTCCAATCCGCAGGCCATAACAACTGTCAGGAACGTCTACGATCGGTTCTTGGCCAAATTTCCCTTGTTGTTCGGATACTGGAAGAAATATGCCGACCTGGAGTTCTCCATCACTGGTACAGAAGCAGCGGACATGGTATGAAGGCTCTCTCTCTACCGCGCATGTTCGGTGCTAACTTCTGGTTCCTAGGTCTATGAAAGGGGAGTTGCTAGCATCTCGTCTTCCGTTGATCTATGGACCAACTACTGCTCCTTCAAGGGGGAGACTTCCCATGATCCCGACATCATTCGAGAGTAAGTATACTATAGCTGGTTTCCTTTCCTTCCCTGTAACCGTTACCGACACAGCGCGGACCTTATCGTGGTGCCGAATACGCATGATGCAAGATTTCACTGGCAACAAATCCCTTGATGATGGGTGAGATTGTCGCCTTACCCAGGTTCAACTGAAGTTTACTTCTCACCCTTGGCTTTTTCAGGCTGTATCCTTTCCCTTGGTGAAATTGATTTGACCTCAAGCACCACTTTTTTGCACGGACACCAAGACCAGTAACTCTGTTCGGAGACTGCTTCTTGCGCGCACGATGCGCCAGGGAGGGGGAAGGAGAATTCTTCCCTCAGTCTGATCATCCTACTCGTTGAATTATTTGGGCTCACGCACTGATTAGTTAAAAACTGATGTTTGCCATCCTTGCCATCCCCCCTTTCCGTATACCCTCCTCTATCCCATTTCTGCTCAAACAATGTGCTAGTTGTTGGTGCTAACATACTTTTCTCCAGGTTGTTCGAGCGAGGAGCGAGCAGCGTTGGGTTAGATTTCCTGGCGCATCCCTTCTGGGATAAATATATCGAATTCGAAGAACGAGTCGAAGCTCCTGAAAAGATTTTTGCCATTCTTGGTCGCGTTATCCACATTCCAATGCATCAATATGCTCGGTACTTCGAAAGATATCGCCAGCTTGCGCAAACTCGTCCGTTATCAGAATTGGCGCCTGTGGAGACTTTGTCTCAATTCCGCGCCGAGCTTGAAGCAGCCGCTGGCCAGATACCCCCGGGCGCAAAGGCAGAAGCAGAAATCGAGAGGGATCTCCGGCTCCGTGTCGACGCTTACCACCTTGAAATCTTCTCAAAGACACAGACAGAGACTACCAAGCGATGGACCTACGAGTCGGAGATTAAGCGCCCATATTTCCATGTTACAGAGCTGGACGAGGGTCAGCTAACCAACTGGAAGAAGTATCTGGATTTCGAAGAGGCAGAGGGATCATATCCTCGAATTCAGTTCTTATACGAGCGGTGTCTCGTGACATGCGCTCATTACGACGAGTTCTGGCAACGCTATGCTAGATGGATGTCTGCCCAGCCTGGCAAGGAGGAAGAGGTGCGGAATATCTATCAACGTGCAAGCTGCTTCTATGTTCCAATTGCAAACCCCGCCACGCGCCTTCAATACGCATATTTCGAAGAAATGAGCGGCCGGGTGGACGTTGCTAAGGATATCCACGATGCGATACTTGCCACCCTACCAAACCATGTGGAGACTATTATCTCCTTGGCGAACATGTGTCGTCGTCATGGTGGCCTTGAGGCTGCGATTGAAGTATACAAGAATCAGTTGGATTCACCTCAGTGCGACCTGGCTACCAAGGCTGCGCTTGTTGCCGAGTGGGCTCGCCTCCTGTGGAAGATTAAGGGCTCAGCCGAGGATGCGCGTCAAGTCTTCCAGAAGAATCAGCAGTACTACCTGGACAGCCGTCCATTCTGGAACAGCTATCTCATGTTTGAGTTAGACCAGCCCACGAGTGCTGCTACTGAGAACGTCCAATACGAACGCATCAAGCAGGTGGTTGATGACATTCGTTCTAAGAGTGCCCTTTCGCCCGACGTCGTGAGGGACCTCGTTCAGATCTATATGGTCTACTTGCTTGAACGAGGAACCAAGGACGCGGCGAAGGAGTACATGACTCTTGATCGCGAGGTCCATGGTCCTGCCTCTGTGGCTCATACCAAGACTGGAGGCGCAGTGCAAGCCCCGCAGAACGGCAGTCAGGCGGCACCTGTGGCATCTGTTGTGGACCCAACGGTTGCTGCCGCCGCCGCCGCTCCTCAAACCAGCCCATATCCTTACTATCAACAGACTCCGGTCAATGGTGGTGTAAGTGCTTAGTTGGCATGTGTGATCTCAGCAATAGACACTGGCTGACTGCTGCCATGGGTCAGTACCCGTCTCAGCCCGTCCCCTACCGATAAGGTAAATGGCTTCCTCAGGTTTTTCTCTTTCGTCTCCGGTAGGAGCCATCTCCCATGTAGAACAACTACTTCCGTGCTCGCTTTTTGCAACAGCAACAGCAATAGCGGTTCTGTCGCACCAAATGCAGAGGTTCGTCAACATCTCGGCGGACTCTCTGCTTCTCCGCCTACTTCTCAAATGATATCATGCCAGCTGATTGGGTGGAATTATGGATTTGGACATTTCTTTTTCGATCGTGTACTCTAATTCTAGGTCGCAATGCCACTGAGACTTCATGTACTCCTTTGCTGGTTTCCTTTACACTGGTAATATAGATGGATCACGTGACTGCGCGTCGAGCTTCTATGCCTTTCCGTAGAAATTCGAGATACGCTTCACTTATCAAAGGGTCCGCAACCGCTACTTGCGACATAGTTCCCCGCAAACCACCATGGATGGCATCATTTCAAACGGCTCCCCGGGTGCGTCTGTTACCCGACCCCTTCCTGAGCCATTAGAAAAACCTCCTACACCACCTCCCCCTCCCCCAGAAGATTCCGCCGCCCCTCCTCCGCCCCCAGACACTTCCGTGCCGCCACCACCGCCGGAAGATGCTCCCCCAGCTCCGCCGCCTGAGAAGAAGAAGAAGGTAGGGTGGGGCGCGAAACGCCCAGCAGCGACGCCGTTGAGCGTTGAGGAACTTGTACGGAAGAAGAGGGAGGCAGATGCGGCAGCAGCCAAGGTAGGCTTTCCTCCGAATTTGCGAACTACGCACTGAACACAATAGCTGATACTCTGACTTACTGCGCAGCCGAAATTCTTGTCCAAAGCTGAGCGCGAGCGGATTGCTCTAGAGAAGCGCGCCAAGGAGGTGGAAGCAGGGCGACGATTCAAATCGGAACCATCCACCAACGGTACAGACCGAAGCGGGACGCAATCACCGTCAGTTTACTCCGAGACTCCCAACGGCGATGAAAGATCGATACCCACCGGTCCCCGAGCGATGCGAAACTCAGAAGTCCCGACTGGTCCCGCCGCGATGCGCAACAAGAATTACGACATGTCGCCGCCGCCTCCGCCGAAACCTATGTCGTTCAGTCTAACGGATGGGAAAGGAGACAGCAAGCGCCAGGCGGAGGAGGACGAGGCGGCGGCCCAAGCTGCCTTGATCAAGCAGAAGTACATGGGAACGGAGAAGACGTCGAGTTTCTCAGCGAAGAAGAAGCGCAAGAGGACGACTGATCGGAAGTTCAATTTCGAGTGGAACGCGGAGGAAGATACGAGCGGGGATTATAACCCGTTGTATCAGCAGCGGCATGAGGCCAACTTCTACGGGCGTGGCCGGTTGGCTGGCTTCGGAGACGATGTGGCCGATACATTAGCGCAGAAGTATGCCAGGGCTCTGGAAGACCGCGATCGGGAAGCTGGAAGCATCCGAGCCCGAGAGATATTGGAGATGGAGCGGAGACGAAGGGAGGAGAGTACGCGGAACCAGCTCGACAAGCACTGGAGCGAGAAGAAGTTGGAGCACATGCGCGAGAGGGACTGGCGTATCTTCAAAGAAGATTTCAACATCAGTACCAAGGGCGGCAGTGTGCCGAATCCCATGCGGTCATGGGAGGAATCTGGCCTTCCCAAGCGGCTCCTGGAGCTTGTGGACCAGGTTGGCTACAAGGAGCCCACACCGATTCAGAGAGCTGCCATCCCTATCGCTCTGCAATCACGAGACCTTATTGGTGTTGCCGTTACAGGTTCGGGTAAAACCGCGTCATTCTTGCTTCCGCTGCTGGTATACATCTCGGAGCTGCCCCGGATTGACGAATTCGAATGGAGGAAGAACGACGGTCCGTACGCCATCGTCCTAGCTCCTACCCGAGAACTAGCACAGCAAATCGAGATCGAAGCCAGGAAGTTCACACAACCGCTCGGGTTCAACGTGGTCAGTATCGTCGGTGGTCACTCCTTCGAAGAACAAGCATACAGTCTCCGAAACGGCGCGGAGATCATCATCGCCACGCCCGGCCGTCTAGTCGACTGTATCGAGCGCCGTCTCCTCGTGCTCAGCCAGTGCTGCTACGTCATCATGGACGAAGCCGACCGGATGATCGATCTCGGCTTCGAAGAGCCCGTCAACAAAATCCTCGACGCCCTCCCCGTCACCAACGAGAAGCCCGACACGGAAGAAGCTGAGAACTCCGCCGCCATGAGAAGCCACCGCTACCGCCAGACAATGATGTACACAGCCACCATGCCCTCGGCCGTCGAGCGCATCGCCCGCAAATACCTCCGCCGGCCCGCCATCGTGACGATCGGCAGCGCCGGCGAAGCGGTCGACACCGTCGAGCAGCGCGTTGAGATGATCGCCGGCGAAGACAAGCGCAAGAAGCGGCTCGCCGACATCCTCTCCTCGGGCGAGTTCCGGCCCCCAATCATCGTCTTCGTCAACATCAAGCGCAACTGCGACGCCATCGCCCGTGAGATCAAACAAATGGGCTTCTCCTCCGTTACCCTGCACGGAAGCAAGACCCAGGAACAGCGTGAAGCCGCGCTTGCCTCCGTGCGCAACGGCTCGACGGACGTCCTTGTCGCCACCGATCTCGCAGGTCGTGGTATCGACGTCCCCGACGTCAGTCTCGTCGTCAACTTCAACATGGCCAACTCCATCGAGAGCTACACGCATCGTATCGGTCGTACCGGTCGTGCCGGTAAGAGCGGTGTGGCTATCACTTTCCTCGGCAACGAGGATGCCGACGTCATGTATGTCAACTTCCCCTCCCCTTTCTTCCCGTCTCAGAATCATCTAGAGGATATGGTATACTGACTTTTCTACTTCTACAGGTACGACCTCAAGCAGATGCTCATGAAGTCGCCCATTTCCCGCGTCCCCGAAGAACTGCGCAAGCACGAAGCCGCCCAGTCCAAGCCTAACCGGGGATTTGCGAAAAAGAGCGACGATAGTTCAGGATTTGGGAATAAAAGTGGGTGGCAGTAGAATAACATAGACCCATCATGCTGTATACCCTTATGACAAACGTACCTATATGCTCAGCGAAGAGACATTCTTATGGTGCTCCAAGTGCATTCTGGCCCTTCAGGGTCGAAGATATCAAACCTTAGGACTTGTGGTGGAATACACACCTGTAAGAAGCACATGCCTCATTTTCATGCGCTACTCTTGGTCGCCTGTATTTGTATTAAGATCCCATGCTCCTCGCTCTTCCAATGTACGCATCGTAACTCGGGATTTCACAAAGCTGCACAGCGAGATCTCTCAGAAGATTAAGTCTGGTTTTGTAACAACTCTAAACTTTTGGTCTATATCCGTTATCTTTACAACTTCTCATCCCTGAGGTAGCCGTTCGACTTCAGCCAAGACTCAACGTCAGCGCGGTCACGCTTCAGCCATTGGACCTTGGCCCGGATAGCATCCAGACTCTGCGAAACCGCACGATCATAGCCCTAGATAGTCAATTAGCCATATATCCCTTGAAACTGACAGGCGCCGAAACTCACCTTGGTATCCTTGTTCTCAAAGAATGTCTGCACATCCTTCAACTGCTCCTCGGTGCAGAAGCTCGCAGTGCAGAGCTGAACAACTGTGCCCAGCATACCAAGTGCAGGGGGCAGACGCTTGTAAAGGGCGTCCCAGTTCGTCTTCATCCAGTCCCAACGGGCTTCAATGGCAGCAGGCGAGCCACGGAGTCCTCCGAGAGGCATGTAGATATCCTGGTTCTTAACCTCATCACTGCTGGCCAGGCCCAGAGTACGCTGAATCAGAGCGGGATCTTCGGCAGAACCGAGGCAGCGCAGCGCGGTTGTCTTCTCATCAGAGGTAGGAGCGTTGCGGAAACGGTCCAGTACGACATTGTATTCCTTCTCTCCGCCGTGTTTGAGGACGATGGAGAAGACACTACCGCGGATGTTAGGGTGGATGGCACTCAGGTCACCACCAGCAAATCGCTGGAACATGTCCTGAGCGGCCTTGACGACAACAGGGTCTTCGGCCATTCCTGCGCTACCGAACATAAGAGCCTTGAACTGTTGCAGGATATGGCCGTCCTTGTCAGAGAATTCCCAGCCGAGCTCCTGTGCCTTGCTGCTGACAAGTGAGCGCTGGAAGGCCTTGAGAGCATCCTTTGTCTGGCTGTTCTCGAATATCCAGGCGGCTCTCAGGGTACCGACACGGGTCAGGATCTCGTTCCAGACGACGAACTCAGCTTCACTATCGAAGCCCTTCAGGAGGGACAGCAGACCAGAAGTGCTCTGATAACCAGACGCAGCCAGAGCACCAGCATCTGCAATCATCCCTGCACGATCCTCAACGGTCAAAAGTCCCTTCTTGGCTGCTTCTCCCAGCTTGCTGAGCCGCTCGGGTGGGTAGGAAGTGCGGTAAATGGCGGAATGATCAGCATTCAGCTTGTAAAAGTCAAGGTCGGGAACCTTGAATTCACCCTCACGTTCAGTGAGCATTGTGTTCTCATCAATGCCCTGCTTGGTACGCAAGCCCAACATGACGGGGTACAGTGTTGTGTCTTCTTCGGGACGCACATCGCCGGTGCGCAGGAAACGGTTTTGCTTCAGCTTGATGGAAGAAGCGCTGGGATTTTCCGTCACAGAGACGACGGGGAAACCAACGTTCTTGGTCCAGATGTCCATCACGTTCTCCACCGGCTTGCCACTGGCGTCAGCAAGGGCGGACCACAGGTCACCGGTTTGAGTGTTGCCGTATGCGTGCTTCTTAATGTAGTTACGTACACCCTGGAGGAACACATCTTCTCCAAGGTATTTGGAAATCATGCGGAGGACGGAAGAGCCCTTCGAGTAGGAGATGGCGTCGAAAATCTGATTGATCTCATCTGCCCGTTTCACAGGCACCTCAATGGGGTGGCTGCTGCGCAGAGAGTCTAGAGAAAGCGCGCTCTGCAAATTGTCGATGACATACGTCTGCCAGACCTTCCACTCCGGGTAGAACGCGTTGCAGGAGTACCACGACATCCAAGTAGCAAATCCCTCGTTGAGCCACAAGCCGTCCCAGAAATCCATGGTCACCAGGTTTCCGAACCACTGATGCGCCAGCTCATGTTGAACGGTCTCTGCAATGCGCTCCTTACGAGAGGCACCGCTAGCCTTCTCGTCCAACAAGAGATCGACAATACGGTAGGTGACCAGACCCCAGTTTTCCATTGCTCCAGCACTGAAGTCAGGCACAGCTACCATGTCCATTTTGGGCAGCGGGAACTCGCTATCAAATGCCTTTTCGTAGAAGGCCAAAGTCCTCGCGGCAAGATCTAGGGAGAAGCGGCCATGCTCGATGTCCTGATCTGGAGTTGCATAGACACGGATAGGGACACGGAAATCCTTGGTCTCGATGTGCTTCAGATGGCCAACGATGAAAGCAACAAGGTATGTCGACATCAGGGGAGTGGTGTTGAACTTGACAGCCTTCTTGGCACCTCCCTGGACTTCGGTCTCGGAAGCGACGTCCATGTTGCTTAGGCAAGTCATGCTCTTATCAGCAATCAACGTGACCGTAAACTTGGCTTTGAGTGCGGGCTCGTCGAAACAAGGGAAAGCCCTGCGGGCATCGGTAGGTTCCATCTGGGTCGAGGCGATGTACTTGGTCTCCCCATTGGCAAGCTTATACGACGAACGGTAGAAGCCAGCCATGTTGTCGTTGAGAATGCCAGTGAAGGTGAGCTTCAATTGCGCCGAGGATCCAGCGGGGATGGTTTCGGCAAACTTGATCGTAGCCGTCTGGTTGTCCTTGTTGATTGAGACATCGGGGCTCGATGTGACAACGGAGCCCTGAGACGAGACGACGGCTTTCTGAATATCAATCTCATTGGTATTGAGGGAGATGGAGGTCGTATCTTCGGCAACCTCGAGGCTATACGTAGCATCAGTGTCCCGAACCGCCGTAGCAGGCAAACATCTCGAACAGAAAACCTACTCAATAATCACGGTCCCGTCATAGGTGAACTTCTCGAAATTTGGTTCAAGAGTAAGGTCATAGTGCACCGGCTTGACGTTGGTAGGCAAGACCTCACGACCATGGGTGACGTTGGTCGAGCCCGAAGGCACGTCAGCACGGCGGGACATGCACATCCTTCGATAGGAGCAGTAGCGTTTGGCAACTTGGGAAAGAGGAAAACGACGGGGGGCGATTCGATTGACGGACGTTGATGGGGAGGAGGAGAAGAGAGAGGACGATCGAGAGAGAAGGAGGAGGGGCTTTGAAGAGGGTGAGGAAAGCGGTGGCCTTGCTGAGTTCAGAACCAGCGGTAACCGCGCAGAGGAGAATCGACGCATGAACCCCGCCGGTCGAAGAAACAGAGAGGAAAGAGGGAGAGAGGAAGAAAAGCGGTGGGAGAGGGAGGAGGAGAGTCAATTGATCAGGATGACAACAAGCACAATGAAGTCGAAGAACCGCGGATGGTGAATAGTGGTAGAGACCGATCTGTAGAACTGGCTACAATCGGCATCAACCCCGGAAGAAAACGATGATGTCTGGTCCGGAATGGCAGGCGGTGAAAACAAACCGTTCATAATGGGCTCATAACTTACGCTATTCAGTACATTACACACAAATACCCTCACCGCTTTAGCACCACAGCTTAAGGCGTCAAGGCAGTCAAAGCTTGCAAGTACGCTAAGCCTATATTAGACATAGCTTATCACGTGACATGTTTTCTTTTCCTTTTGAATCTTTCGCACCTTATTCTTTCCTCCTCATCATTCTTTACGCAAGTCAAAACGGCATATGCCAGGCTTCCTTTTGAGGAGTACACTGTGGCAGATGCCTTTTCCTATGCCCATGTGGCATTACTTGCAAGACGGTTCTCCAGTCAGTTTGAGGGGTTCATGACAGCAAATTATGCAAATCTCGTGGATGGGCTTCCATAGAGGACTGGGACAAGAGGCATCCTTAGATAGATTTTTGAGCACTATCTTCATTGGCCAGGAAATTCTTTTACAGTACTCTCTACTGGGTACTCGTGAAATATGTAAATGTATTTTGTGCAACAAAAATCAAGATGCTTGTTGAATGCTGTCTATAAATGCCTCCAAACTCCGAAGATATGCCAGGGTATCCAGTTCCTCCCTTTATACACATTAAAATTATGCCATGAAGGCAAGATGTTGAATCATGTCGTCGTAACCGGAGAATCTCATCTGACGCCGCTTGGCTGACAAGAGAAACTCAAAAGCGAGATCAAACTCGCTCAGCTTCCGCGAGCGGCAGCCGGGTGAAAACGCTTCTGGACCAGCCATCAGCGTCAACCACGGTTTCTTTGACCAGCATGTAGCGACCAAAGCGTGGCATCAGAATCGCCCACACCACATAGTATATCGCGCCCAAGGCAAAGATGCCGAGCGCCACGACACAGTGAAGGTAGTAGGGAAGTTCTTCGTAAACACTCTGTCCCTCCGAGGGCGGAATGTATGGTGCAATGACCAGGTATATGTTGGATAGGAAGAAGAATATGGTGACTGGGAGGGTCGCGCGGATCCCGGGAGCCCAGTCAGGAAAGCGTGTTGAACGTGTGAGGTAGATATAGATAAGACCGCCGGACACGAAGACGTTCACAATGGATAGAGGATAGGAGATCAGGCTTTTGACGGATTAGCAGCGCCTCAGCTGAAATGATGCATGGACGGACTCACTTGAGCAGGAAATTGTACGCATCACCCGGCGGGGGAGCCAGCATAATGATGACCGAAACGACCCAGTGCTCAAACAGACCGGCAGCTGGCGAGTGGAACGGCTTGTTACTCGCCCAAAGCCTCGAGAAGGGCAAAACACCCTCACGACCAAGTTCTTGGACAACTGCCGACCGTGTTAGTACTTGAGACGACACCACAGGCAACGAACTTGAACATACTTCGTCCTTGAGAGAAGATCACGGACAACACATTTCCAAAAGCCGACAATGCCACGAAGACCGACATCACCTTCTCAGCACGAGCACCGAACATGTTCCCGAAGAATTT